GTCATTAGCACCTCTAGTAATATATTTACTGAGAAAAATGGTGACGTGTTCAATACTTATTTTACCTGCTGTAACTGGCATATTTTCTTTAATTTTTTCAGCTCTGACTCTTCTTTTTTTCTCTCTGATAGTGAGCCAGAACCATCAAAAGAAACCTCAGATACTGTGTTGTCAGTTATAGTAATGTTTAGTTTCCACGCAGGCATTCTCCTCTGTCATCGCTTCATGTTACCGAATATGCAAATCTCTGACAGTGATTTTTTTTGCAACACATTAAAATTCCTACACTGCATCGTGGAAATTTGATGTTGCAGGCATTTTAACTGTTACAGTAGTTACTAGCAGAGTATTGTGTAATTTTATAGTAGACTTTTAAACAATTATTTAAAGAATAAATGCACTACAACTAGTTATTGTCTGAAAGTTGCTGTTCAATCCGTCTTTCCCTGTAGTTAACCTGCTCTTCTAGTCACATGACTGAGTTGCAAAACGTTTCACCTGACACCCTGCATATGGAGAAAAGAAATATTCAGACAATGGGAGTGGTCGGTGCATGATCACTGTGTGCTCGCACACTGGTGGCTGCGTGAAGACTAGGGAGAAAAATGTGGACAAACGACTCCAGAACATCTTAAAAGCTTGCTTTTGTAAATTCCTTTACACCAGAGGTGCCCAAACATTTGCCCTGACAGGGCCAAGATTAAAAACCATTTTCCTTGAAAGGGCCAAAATTAAAATCAATCTGAGGGTGGTGTGCTAAATTCAATAATATAATACATGAAATGCAAATACTTCCAGTAAAGTTGTATTTTTTATGATTAAGCTAGCAGTCAGTGCGGTTGCCCACATTTTTTTTTGTTTGTTTGTTTTTTCAGCCCATGGATATGGAGAAAATTCAACGTTTGCTCAGGCAGCAAAGGCTCATGGGACTTTTCATGATTTAAAATTTAAGTATATGTGGTCTTATAAGGTGTGCAAATCTAGATATGGACTTAAATCTAATATAAATGTCTCTTGAAGTTACTTGTATTTTAAGTTTAATCTTAACATAATTCAAAGATAAAGTGAGTACCATGAGTTAAGACTATCTGACTACAGCTTCTTGTACCTATAGTTGGACCAATGGTTTAAAAGACTAAGTGTAAATATAGTATTTCTACATAAGACAGGAGATTACAATCTAGTAACCAGGACAACTGCTAGTGGGCCAAATCAAATGGCTTGGCGGGCCAAATTTGGCCCACGGGCCCCACTTTGAACACCTATGCTTTACACAATCGGAGGAATTTCCCTGTTGAATTGTTAACATGTTAGCCAAAAATGACAGCTGGTGAATTATCGGACTTTAAAATGTATGACGGACAAATACCAGGAGTTCTTATGTCAGAAGAAATTGTTCAGAGAACTTTTAACCTTACTACTAATGAGATACAATGAGTAGACGCTTCTCACTAATGAGGATTTGGTATTTTTCACGTTTAACAAGTGGAACAACTCTACTTAGAGGTTGGAAAAATACTAAAGCCCAAGGCTWTTTACATTAACAATGACTCCAGTAGGTGTATGAATGAGGGGAGGGGGGACTTTAAATTATAAAGTCGCACTGTTTATAACAAAAGCAATCTATTTTCTGGAATAACCCCAACACGTCACTATTATATGTCAAATTTTATATTTTGTATTCCACCAAATTTTAAATGGGAATCAGCTGTTTTCTGACTATTCTGTACTTAATGCTACAAAACTGAATTCTAGAAATGCTCAGTAAAACTGTGGTCAACATTTTTTATGGATCCAAAACAAATATAAGTGTAAATACAAAGAAACACATTAAAATTGCCAAGTGTCTTTTGTAAAATGCCTCCATGAATGTCACGACCACATCCCAAATGTCTAAATTATGGACACGTTGATGACTTTGGAGGATTTGGAGTTTACAGATCTTATCATAAACAATCTTAGAGGTTTCACCAAAGATACTCTAGATCAGTGGTTCCCAAACCTTTTATCTTCTGACCCACAAAATATCCATGGCAAAAACTTGTGACCCCAAATATTACTGGTCTGAGTACACGAACTTCATTAATAACCCTAAAAACACCGGATTTTTGACTATCTAAGCAGCTTGTACACAAATATAAATACTTATTTATACT